CTGCTGAAATGTGGAAAGCAATCTTAACTGAACCTCTCTCATTCCTGCACAAGAGAGAGCAGGTAACCCAGGCAGGCGTTGCTGTCTTGACAACGCTATTCCAAACAGAATTTTTTTAAGCAGGGATTCTCTCAACAAACTTGGCTGACATCCTCCTGTACATCCCAGCTGTACCTTTAAAAGTGAAGTCAAAGAACAGTAATTCCACCACCATCCCCCAAATCATCTTCCCCTTCCCGTTTTGTGGGCTGGAAAAGGTTAGTTGGAAAAACACTCTTAGCTACCCTCCCCAGCACAATAAATGCACACTGGACGCTAGATCTGAGCCATATGAAGATCTTAGTCATGGTAGCATCCTAGATTGTTAAAAGAGAAAATTCTTTTCCCTTTAACAAATGGATAACAAATGGCACTCTTTCAGTGTCAGGCAGAAAGAGGAACATTTTTCAACTCCTTTGTCTTAGAAATTGTCAGAAATAGAGTTTAACCCTGTCTTACACCAGAATTCAGTGGCAGACCATAGGATTATTTCTTTCTGGAGCTGTTCTTCAAGAGCATTTTGCTCTCCTGAACGTGGTTGTTGCTCACCTGGGGATAGTCAGAATTCTCATGCTATAGTAACCTGTTCTTTTCTGAGTTTTCATACTAGGCTTTCTCTTTTCTTGAGATGCTGAAGATTTGGGGTGGTGTTGGAGGTTTGTATTTGTTTTCTCTCAGTAGTCTGAGAGCAGGAAATGTCTACCAACCAAGTCTGCTATCTTTTTATGTTGCAACCCTAGCTGTGTTCTTCACTAGAGAGAGTATTTTCTTTCTTCCATGAGAAATTATCTGCTTAATAGCTGGAAGGGTTCTGCTAGGTTAAGTAGAATTTTTTTTCTTTTTTTCTTTTTTTTTTTTTTTTTTAATTGTTATGTTCAAGTGGTCAAGTGAATACAGTAGGGATCAAAATTTGTCATTATTTTCCTGGACTGACTAACTTATCTATCAGCTTAAAGTCTACCTGGCAGCAGTTTCTGCCTATCCTGTGAAAGGTACTGTCATTTTACTCCTCATCCACGATTCCTAGGTTTTTGTAGAATATGATTAAAACCTTTCCATTGCCTTAATTTGCTGGGATCAGGGAATATATTTAACCTTGGGATCAGTGTGTCTGCTCTGTCATCTTAGGGAGGTTTGCTGCTTGGCAGGGCCTCACATTTGGGACATAGTGGAAAGACTGCCAAAGCTTGTCTGTCCCTCAGACATTTACCGTCTGCTGCTCTTCCCTATTGGCATGAACAATACTATCGGGGAGACCTGGACAGTGTCAAGAGTGACTGTATGGCTCTGGGAGTAGTGGTCAAGGCCGTGGAGCCCGGCTAGTTTCCTTAATCCTGCTGGTGAGGAGTAGAGGGGTGGACTGATTCTGCATGTCAACCATTGTTTGTGTAGCTGGTTTGAACAGCAGGGTTTTGGGTTTTATGATCATGGGAACCTCTTCGAGGATTGAGGACTGCTTGGAAGAGATGGGATCTATCTAAGTGGGGCAAAAGCATCTTTGCCAGCAGTCTGGCCAACCTGATTAGGAGAGCTATAAGCCAGGAACGACAAAGGAGGGAGAGTATGACCACTGATTAAGAAAGGAATTAGTTGATTGGGTTGGCAAGCAAACAATGTGGGGTGATGTGAACAGGAGAATTCTCATACTTAAGAAAACAGGGATGAAAGACGTTCACCTCAAGCATATGCACATAAGTAAGGGACTGTGTACGTCACAGCATTGTGAGGAAAATTTCCCCGTTTCTGGGAAATCAGCATGACCAGGTGCCTTTCTGAAGTGCCTGTACCCTAATGCATACAGCAAAAGGAACAAACAGGAGAAATTAGCATGCAGTTGCACAGCCACAATCTTGTTGGTATGCTGGAGAAGTGGTGGGATAGCTCATGCAACTGTAGTAGGGCAAGGGATAGGTACAGGCTGTTCAGGAAGGACAGGCCAGGAAGGTGAGGAGGGAGCATTGCTATTTATGTGAGGGAGCAGCTGGACTGTGTGAAACTGCACAGGAATGGATGATGAGCCAGTTGAGAGTTTATGGGCCAGGATTAGTGAGCAGACTAGTGGGCAACGTTGTGGCGAGTTTCTGCTACAGACCACGTGATCAAGAAGAAGCGATAAGGCCATTTTCTGCACCTCGTGAGGCCACCCTGATATCTACTGGAGGAACACCAGAACAGGTCACAAGCACTCCTGAAGTTTTCTGGAGCGCACTGATGACAACGTTGTGACACAGCTGATCAAGGAGCCAACTAGGGAAGGGCGCTCTGCTGGACCTCATGCTTACACACAAGGAAGAATGGGTTATTGATGTGAAGGTAAGGGGCAGCTTCGGCTGCAGTGACTATCGGATGGTTCGGTTCAAGACCCTGAGAGGAGGGAGCAAAGCGAAAAAGCAAGATCACAAACCTGGGCTTCAGGAGAGCAGGCTTTCACCTTTTCAGGTGTCTGCTTGGAAGAATCCCATGGGATATGGTCCTGAAGAGGAGAGGGGCTCAGGAATGCTGGTTGAGTCATGGTTAACCTGCCTCGTAGCCTTCTGAGATGAGATGACTGGCTTGGTGGATGAGGGGAGAGCACTGGATGTTTTTAATCTTAACTTGAATAAGGCTTTTGACACTGTCATAATGTCATCAGGCAAAGCGATGAAGTACGGACTAGATAAGTGGACAGTGTGGTGGATTTAAAACTGACTGAAATGCCATGGTCCAAGGGTTGTGATCACTAGCACAAAGTTCAGCTGGAGGCCAGTCACTAGTGGTGTAACCTAGGGGGGCAGTATTGGGTTGACAACTATTTAACATCCTCATTAATGACCTAGATGGGACAGACTTCATACACGCTCAGCAAGTTTACAGACGATACAAAACTAGGAGGAATGGCTGATACAGCAGATGGTTGTGCTGCTATTCAGAGGGACCTGGACAGGGTGAAGAATTGGACCAAGAGGAATCTCATGATGTTCAGCAAGGAACAACGTAAAGTCCTGCACCTCAGGAGGAATAACACCCTGCAGCAGTACATGCTGCGGAGTGGCCGGCTGGAAAGTAGCTTTGCCTGGAAGGACCTTGGGATCCCCGTAGACAAGGAGGTGACCGTGAGCCAAGAGTGTGTCCTCGTGACAAAGCAGGGCAGCGGCATCCTGGGCCGTTGTCAGCAGGTCAAGGGAAGTGATCCTTCCCCTCTACTCGGCACCGGTAGAGGCCACACCTGGAGTACTGTGTCCAGTTCTGGGCTCCCCACTACAAGACAGAGATGGACTTACTGGAGCCAGTCCAGCGAAGAGCCACAAAGATGCTTAAGGGACTGGAGCATCTTTCGTATGAAGAGAGGCTGAGAGAGCTGGGACTGTTCAGCCTAGAGAAGAGAAGGCTCGGGGGAGCGCGGGGAGGAGATCTTACCAATGTGTATAAATACCTGATGAGAGGGAGTGAGGAAGAGGGAGCCAGACGCTTCTCAGCAGTGTCCACTGACAGGACAAGAGGCAAAGTGCACAAATCAAAAACCAGGAAGTTCAACCTGAACACAAGAAAACACCTTTTTTAGTGTGAGGGTGGTCCCTTCCAACCTAAATGTTTCTGTGGTTCTGTGGGGTTTTTTTCTTTTTCTTTTTCTTTTTTTTTTTTTCCTTTTCCTCTCTGAAGTTGACAGGAGTAAAGTAACAACCCCTTTTTGTTTTCTTAAACCTTACTCTTCTGGAGTTGAGGTTTCATTGCTGCCTTCTAGAACTTAAGGGCTATGTTGTGTTATATTTGAAAACCAAGGCCTTTTCCGTTATCTCCAAAGTTGTTTTTCTTCGTCCATTCCTTTCTGAATGAATAGTTGCCCTCACTTAAGGGCTAAAGTGGATACTAGTCCTGTTAGAGGCCATCAGGCATTCCAGGTGAAGCAGTGGTTAGTTACTGGAGTGTTTTGAAGCAGCGTAACTTTGGAGTTGCTTGTCTATAGGTATCTTTGCCTAATGGGCTGATATTACTAGAACATCTAGGGGCATCTGTGCTCCCCAGGGTTGTATTGAGCTCTTCATGTGAATAAACCCAAGATCCACCTTCAGATCATTGTGAATGTATAGGGCACAGCCTGGAATTGATTCAAACTTTCATAGACATGTGAATTGTCATATGAACATGGGTAGCAGTTACTAAACTTAGAGTTCTTCAGGTGGGATAGTCTATGTGCAAATTCACTTCATTCCCTCTTTTCCTTTTCTCTCAAGTCTTGTAATTCTAGAGATTGCAGGGCAAGAGGAACTGACAAGGTCTTGGTCAGTGTTGGGAGGATTGTCTGGTATACCTTTTCCTAGTATTGTTAGTTTAGGAAATGCCTTGAGCATTTATGGGGAGAGGCCACTCCAATCTTGGTGTGGAATGTATATATGTGGTTAGCCTAAACATCTTAAAACAAGTGAACAGCCTTTTGCAAGTGAACAGCCACTTTTCTGCTACTTGGTTTTGTACTACGGAATTAATGATGATCCATGATTATACATAAATAATGAGTGAAATAGTTAAAAAATTCATATCAGATTATGAAAATTTCATATGAGAAGGCTTTACTACAAATGCTGTTTCTAGTGGTAGTTGCATTTGTGCTTAAAAAAAGGAGAGGTGGTGGGACTCAACACCCACTGTACTTCCACAGGTGGATTGACCTTGCCTGGCTGCCAGACCCCTACCCAGCCACTCTTTCGCTCCCTCTTCTGGACAGGACAGGGGGAGAAAATATGGTGGAAAAATTTGTGGGTCACGATAAAGACAGGGAGATCACTTAGTGATTGCTGTCACAGGCAAAACAGATTCAATTTGTGAAAAAGGAATTTAATTTATTGCCAATTAAAAATAGAGTAGGGTGGTGGGGAACAAAGACAAAGCTAAAAACACCTTACCCCCAGCCACCCCTCCTTCCTAAAGGCTCAACTTTACTCCTTCATCCCTGACTCTTCTACTTCCTCGCTCCCCAGAGGGGCACAGGGGGGATGGAGAATAATGGGGGTTGCGGTCAGTTCATAACGCTTCGTCTTTGCTCCTTCCTTTTCACACTTTTCCCCTGCTCCAGTCCCTCCCACAGGATACCATCCTTCACAAACTGCTTCAGCGTGGGCCCTCCCCATGGGCTGCAGTCCTTCAGGAATAGACTGCTGCAGCATGGGTCCCCAGTGGGCCACAGTTTCTGCCAGAAAACTTGCACCTGCATGGGCTTCTCTCCAAGGGCCGCAGCTCCTACCAGGAGCCTTGCTGCAGTGTGGGGCTCTCTATGGGCTACAGCTTCCTTCAGGTCATCTCCCTGTGCTGCGGTGTGGGGTCCTCCATGGGTTGCAGTGGATATCTGCTCCACCATGGTCCTCCACAGGCTGCAGGGGAGCAACCTGCTTTCACCACGGTCTCTTCCATGGGCTGCAAGGGAATCTCAGGAGCACCTCCTCCCCCTCCTTCTTCATTGACCTTGGTGTCTGCAGAGTTGTTTCTTTCACTTCCTTTTCCCCTCCCTCCTCTTCTTCCCACCCCCTAGCAGCTGCGGAACATTTTTTCCCCTTTCTTATTATCACAGAGGCACCAGCAGCGTCAATTATGGGCTCAGCTTTGGCCAGTGGTGGGTCTCTTGGAGCCAGGTGGAGCCATCTGTGTCCAGCACAGGGCAGCTCCCAGCCTCATCTCATGGAGCCCACCCCTGCTGCCAATATGTTGCTGCGTAGACCTAATACACTTGCCTTAGTAAGTCTAATGCAATACCACTTCTAAGGCAACTGCAGATGGCCTGGAACTGAAGTTTGCTTTGACTCTGGTTATTTGTTTGGTGCACAAAAACCAGACATGGATGAAAATAGATTTGTGGTGTCTTTTGTATGATGGTAGCCAGGAGTCTCAGCTTTTAAAAAAGTTTGGCTGCATGTGTAAGAAATTTGGTTATGGTGGAGTAAGCATTCATCTTTGTATTCTCAGCCCGTGCTGGTATCTGGTGTCCATAAGAAGTTGAAGTCAGAGCTTTGGAAACCAGAAGCTTTCAGCCTGGAATTTGGAGATCAAGATGTAGATTTGGTGAACTGCAGGAACTGTGCCATAATTTCAGACGTGAAAGTGCGTGACTTCTGGGATGGCTTTGAGATAATATCTAGTAAGTAATATCTATGGCTGACTAGTTTAACTGAGCAGTCTGTCTTGCTACCTTCAACTCCTCCTCTTCCACCTATTTTCTCAAAAAAAAAAAAAAAAAAAAAAAAAATTCCAAATAGCTATCAGTCTTATCCAAAGAAGCCATTGCTCCTTAGATGTAGTGTACCCTAGAAAATACTTTATTGGTGAAGATTAGGGCAGGGCCACCCAAGAAAACTTTGTCTGTACTACAGCGTGTTGGTGTGTGTTACTTTCATGTGTCAAAAGATGATCCATTTCATGGGAAACTACGGGGTTTTTTTTAACTTTCCTTAGTGAAATTAATCATCAGTTACTGTTAATAAGACAGTAAGCAATTTGACTACCCTTACTCTCCTTCCAACCTTAACGCTTATTGTCAAACTAAAGAGAACCTGCAGAGCTAAAACAAACTGAGGCTTTTGATGCTAAAAGTCAGACTTGGTGGAATACATCAACTAAGTAAACTTGACATTGAAAATTATTTTTATAGTAGATCATCTGCAAATACAAATACATGTTTATGTGTATTGTGAATAGTAATGCTGTATGCGTACCTCATGTGATAACACATTACTTAATGCTTGAGTTCTTCTTTGAGAAAATCTTCTGTCAAGGGTGGATGTGGAAGCTAACTAGTTAAAATTCCTGGGGATATAACTGGTCAGGTTAAAGAGCTTCTGAAAAGCAGAGTGCTCTGTTTTAGATTGTATATACCTAGATCAGAGTGGTCTTATATTTGCAGATGTTAGACTTGTAACAGTTGATTGCAATGTTGCTGATTTTAGCATTGTGTATAAAACGTTTTCCGTATTTATTGCGATGTGCACATAGCAGAAATTATGAACTATTGTATGACTTAATGGAATGTTTGTTCAACAGTGAACAAAATGATAGATTTGTAGACCAAGAATATTCCCTTCCCTAGTCATTTTCCAGTCAAAGGGCTCCCAACTTTTGACTTGTTTTTATATGGTTCAAAGTACAGGATCTCATATTTTGTACTGTTGAATTTCATACTATTTCTATTAATTACTCAGAAATAAATGACCTAGGAAGATATAACGGTGTGGTCTGTCTGTGTATTAATAGTAATTGGGAAGCTTCACAAACTCTTCACTTTTGTGCTAGGGTCATTCATGAAAATAGTAAATTTGGATGGGTCAAGTTATCTTTGAGAAATGTTATTTGTAGTTTGCCTCCAGCCAGATATGCTCATTTCAGCAAAATCAGCTGCTGTCTTTCTTTTAGACAATGCCTTTACCACATTTTATATGAGAAATGTTAGTGATCTAGGTTGGAAAACCTGATTACTTTTGCTAGTTTCTTTTAAATATATTTTATTTAGTGGTTTTTTTCAGCCATGTGCAGTCCCCAATTTAGAATAGTATTATTTACTACTAGTCCAGAGATTTCACACACTAACTCATATGAAAACTGTTTGCAAATTATATAATGGCTCTGATTTTTCTGCATTACATGAATTTTAGATTTCTCAAATACGTGGTTTGTCTGCCCCCCATTAAGTTATTGAAGAGATGTAAAACAGCTGCTGAATTTGGAGGTGGTATTGAGATAATCCCTTAATTATTCTATATGATACTTTATTTTAGTTAATTTTAATCTTGTGCTGTTTACTTTTAATGTCTTTGAGTTCTAAGTGGACTTTTGGCAGGTCTAACTTTTTTTTTGATCCTTCTTAGACCTGCTTTTCTTTGCTGATCGGATGTTTTCTGGGTTTTGTCCAGTTTTGTAATTTTTCAGATCCATATGTTTTCCTCCAGGCAGCTCTTCGCTCTGTCCTTTCTGAATAGCCTTCCTACAAGCTGCTTCTTATTTGGAACAAAGATCCTTGATGAGTTCAAAGTCTTGAATATGGGAAGTTCTGAAACATCTTTAAATTCAAGTCCTTGAGCTTTTCAGTTCACTTGCCTCTCTAAAACCAGTAGCTCATCAGAATTTGTTCTTTAAGTCAGTCACTTTGGTTTACATATCTGCAGTTCTTAATTCCTTTTAATTTCAATAAAATTATTTTTTCATATTGCAGACTAAGGCTGTCTTCTGTAGCCTGTTGATATATAACACAGATGTGATTCACAGGTCTCCGAGTCGTAGTTTCTTAAATATGCTTTCTCTTTCGGTGCTGTCAGCAGCTCTGCTAGGTCTGGGTAAGGTCAGTTGCTTTTTGTTTAGCTGACAGTCCTTGGTAAGGTAGGAAGTGGTGAAGGATGTTACTTTCTGGGGAAAAGGGGATGTGAAGGTGTCAGACTGCACTACATCGTGTTTTCCAGCTGGTGGCTTCATGCAGAGTTGTGAAGAATCTGATAGAAGATTGAACTTTGTTTTTCTCTAAATGTTACGCTGAGTCTTCTAAGCTGCTGCACATACCACTCTTAGCCATTGTAACATCTGAGGTAAAACAGCAGTAGATAATGGTCAGTGCTGTCATGTCATACATCCACTGTTGCGTACGTAATGTCACCTTTTTATGCTACCAGCTTTCTCTGTTACCAGTCAGGACTCGCGTACAACCCTTGAAGTGAAGAACAAATGTTTGAATTCGGCACCCTGCTAATTTGAGTGCCTCCAGCAAAGAAGAATTTAAAAAACTAAAGGCTGTCTTGATTTCAGAGCATCAACCAATAACTTTAATTTTGTGGAAGCACCACTCTTCTTGAAATGAAAGATAAAACTCCTTTAGGCTTTGGTAAAAGTAGTAAGGCCGAATGCTTTGGAAAGGCTTGTTTTCAAAGTTGAATAAAAACTATTCTAAAAATTAGCAGCTGTGCAAGATCTGTCAAACCTCTGCTGTGGGTAATGAGATATATATATATCTAATTGTTAAACTGTTGTTTGGTCCTACTGTGATAATGCTTGGAAGCCCACATTAAAATCAGGATCCATTTTGCAGTGCAATGTAAGAGGTCTTGGTACAAAAGACTTAGAGCTTAAACAAGGTAATGGGCTGTGGTAAAAAGATACTACATGAAGACATCTTAATTTGTTTCTTGCAGAACGGCTCAGGTCAGACGATGGTCAGCCAATGGTGCTAAAGTTAAAGGATTGGCCTCCAGGGGAGGACTTTAGAGATATGATGCCTACAAGGTAAGTAGACCTTAGTATCAATGCCTGCAGGACTGCTGTAAGCACTACAGGAGGAAAAGATGCCTTTGTTCTCTTTTTGCTCTCTAGGTTTGAGGACTTGATGGAAAATCTTCCTCTTCCTGAATATACCAAGAGGGATGGCAGACTGAATTTGGCTTCCAGGCTGCCAAGCTACTTTGTCCGTCCTGACTTGGGTCCCAAAATGTACAACGCCTATGGTATGTGAGAATAGTTCTGCAGATGTTGATTTTTGTGACTCTTTATTGTACTTAGGGCATATGCAAGGCTGTGGCATTAATCAAAACTGAGTGCTTATTCTAGAGCGCACTGTCGGTTTTTGTACTTGGTCCTGCAATCTATTCCTATGCTAGTCCTCTCTCTGTCAGATTGTGCCCTTTTTTGCCTTGTGGTTTCTGAGAGATGTACATACGATAAGTTAGGTTTGCAATCAGTTATTATTAAATACATATAATAAACATAATACTGATACAGGGTTCAAGGAGAAGCTAATATCTTTTTTGAGACCAGTTGATACATTTGAGAGGAAAATTAGCAAGCTTCTGGGCACTTCGATCTGTGTGCTCATGTTTTAGACCAGGGTTGTAATTTTCTTCATCCGTGTCTAACAACACAGACCACAGACAACATGCAAGACAAAATTGTCACCATGTTCAGTTATCTGAATTGGATAGTTTCGTCCTCTTAAGACAGTAATTCTATAGTAGGTAGATGGCATACAAATGGAGGAAACCTTTGTCTGAACACATACTGTGCATGGGGCTGTGAAGCATTAACTTTTCAAATGATTGTGAGTATAGCAGAGCATGGAGGATATATGAACAACTAATGCATGTCGTATCAACTTGAATTATTTCAGTTCCTGAATGTACTGACTGAGGTTGTGGCCAAAAGCAGGTTTTGGAGACTTTTAATTTAAAACACATGAATGTTAAAGTTCCCAGATACTTTTAAACAACTGATTGATTTGCAAGTATGTACTTTTGCAACTTTAGAGTAAGATAAACAAAGTAGTTTCTCTTTGTATGTACTGAAGAATGTCAAGTGATAATGATAAGGAAAAAATTGCAGCCATCTTGTAAAGCAAGTATGTGGAAGCAAACTTACCCTAATGTAACTTCTGTAGTTACCTTTGAATATTTATCAGATGGGGTGCAGGGTTTTTTTAAGGTTTTGTATTCCAATTATCAATATACCTACAGTAACAGCTCACCTCAGGACACTAAAGATTTTTCTTTGTTTTGTCTTTTTTAAAAAAATGTTTTAGCTCAGTAACCAAATGTGGATTAGACTTAAGCTGTAAGCCAACATACTGTAGTTTTGAGAAGGTGTTTGTGGGGTTATTTTGCAGTTTTTAGCAGTATAACATCACAAATTAGAGTTAAAAAAAGGGGGGGGGTGAACTTAGGCAAATAGAGCTTATTCAGTATTTAAGTGTTCAGTGTTTTGGTTTATGTATTACTTGACATGTAAGTTGAGTGAAGAAGGCTGTACACCAAAGAGCTTGTAATGTAATCAAGAAATACATATGTAAGAGTGCAGCAAGAAGCGAGGTAATCGGTGATGGCTGACTTGTCTTTGTGTATTGCTAGTTGCTAGCAATGGAAGGAATGGATTAATTTTGTTGAATTTATCTTAAATGTCAAAGTTTTCTTTTCCTTTATATCAGAGATTGCGGAGGGAGTATTGACGGTACTTTTTTAGCATAGAATGTAACCCTCTACTATTTAATCCATCTTAGATGTATAGGTCTTGGTCCGGAGAGAGAAAGTATTACACTTTATTTACTTTCAAGTTAAAAGAAAAAAAATTAGCTAGGTCTGTCTTCGAAAATAGTTTTGTATCTTTTTGCTCTTAGCTGCTTTACAGACAAATTAAAGGGCTGACCTAGATATAAAAACAGTAATTCTGTCTATGGTGAATAAGCATAACTTTTCTAGTGTATTAAATGTATTTTGGTTGTAAATACATGGCTTTGTTTTGTGACTGTGTGGTGGAAAAAAGCTCTCAATAGTGAGGTAAAGTCTTTCATGTGCTTAGCATTTTAAAGCATTAAAAAAGAAAAATCGTGACTGAAGCTTGATTCTTAAAGTGATACTCAGTTACCTAAATAAAAAGACTGTTTACAGAAGTTAACTGTGAAGAAATCTTATTCCCTTCGATAGGTTTTGTGTGTAAAGGACCCTTAAATATTGACCAGCTTTTATATATAAATACCTGAACTGGTTAACATAAGACTTGCCATTGATATTGTATTTGTATTTCCCAGCATACTCTGTGTGACTTAGACCACTACCAAATAATTAAGGAAAGAATGACGCTTTTAAATTATATACTGCTGCATCTGGCAAAGCACAGTTTTGTTGTGAAGAGTGTAAGGGCCCTTACTTGACATTTTCGTGAATTTGTCTGGCCTGTTTTTTGAACCTGTATATTACATTTATCCATGTTTGTATTTCAGTTGTGCTGTCTTATAGTTCATGTTACAAACTGTCTAAATTAGCTACTGTTTCTGGCCTGTTATGATAGGTACTGTACAGTGAGTTGCGTTCGTGTCCCCAAAAGCTTATATTTTAAATAGAAAAGAGATAAATACGATGGTGATCCTAAAACGTAACCAGTAGTCTTGTGGTCATACTTACGTTAGTGTTTGCTGATACAAAGATTTTTTTAATATTTTTAATTTTTTCCCCCATGTTACTTGCTAGAGGAGATGGTAAAGCAAAAGTAGAGAGAGGGAGTGCTATTGAAGGGTCAGAGGAAGAGAGAAGAATGTGTTGTATGAGAAGGTGAAAGAATTAAGCAGCAAACATTTGAAATCTTTCTCCATTACTCATAGCCACTTGAGAGGGGCAAGATCGTCCAATGTATAAAGGTGTAAGTGCTTGAGAGGCTGCAGGTGTTTTTCCTTACTCCATTGTAATCTGAGTTGTTAATGATGAGTTGGACAGTAACTGCTGTGAATTAAACTGATCACAGATTTTACAGCTGAGTATGAGAAAACAATGAACCGCTGGAGGCTTATACTCACAACATTCCAATGACTTGCTGCACACAGTATGATGCTAATGCCACTTACAGCAGTCGGGGTTTCTCTTGTACCTCCAAGCAAATGAAAACAGTGCCAAAGAATGCCTACTATCTTTGTATTATGAAAGCTAAGTTCCCTACTACAGACTGTATAAATGACCCTCAGAGACACAAAATTGTAAAGCACAAGCTCAGGCTTTGTTTTTACAATGCTTGTTTTCTCATGACTTGGGTGAACTATATTTGCTACTTCCATTTCCTGTAAAATAAAAATACTAGTTATCGGTAGACTTTTTACTTATGCCACACATGACACGAAAATAACTACTTCAGCTGCCCTTCGACATTGCTTTCTACTCTGTAAAGTTAGCATTCTAGAAAGATCTTTCAGGCAGGTTTTTTCTGTAAGAGCTTAAATAGAATTTGATTCTATTTTACACTCTATTATAGGCTTAATTACTGCAGAAGACAGACGAGTTGGTACCACAAACCTGCACTTGGACGTGTCTGATGCTGTTAATGTCATGGTGTACGTTGGGATTCCCATTGGGGAAGGGACCCATGATGATGGTAATGTTTGAGGAAAGCTGTTTTCTGTCCATTAAAAATCAATTGTGTGTGTGAGAAAGAAGACTGTACCTTTTATTTTTTAAGGTTGTCATATCTATGATATATAACCCAAATATACAAGGCAGTTTGCTATGTCTGCATCATGTATTTGAAAGTGCAGTAATGCTTCATTGGTTCCCAACTGTGGAAGCAGCAGAGTTTTGCTAGAAATTAGAAATCTCCCTGAAGAAAGGAGGAGAAAGGGTGATAAGTTGTTCTTTCTTCTCATTTTATTTGAATAATTGTAGTTAGTTCGGTTTGAATTCATGACTGAGCTTTGTGATTAGCTGTCAATTGACACATTTCCTGAATTTTGTTAAGATGAAGCTTGATGTGCTTAGAAAGGGCACTGTATGATGCAGCAGTTGCAGTAGCAGTGTGACTGCATTTAGCAGCTCAAAATGCTCCTCCCTTTTCTATATGTCAAAAATCAGAAGCTTTGTAATCATACCGCTTTTATGTGGATTCCCCTTTCAGAGGTTCTGAAAACAATTGATGAGGGAGATGCTGACGATGTAACAAAGCAGCGAATCCATGAAGGAAGAGAGAAACCTGGAGCATTGTGGCACATCTATGCTGCCAAGGATGCTGAAAAGATACGGGAACTTCTCCGGAAGGTATGTTGGTTACAAAGGAGGCTTGAGCCTACAGCTACTTAGACCTACTAGCTTACTTAGAGCAGCTGAATGATACAAGTTGCTATCAACATCAAGTGCATAGGTATTCTAATGCTGTCTTTCAGGACATTAATAGTTATTATGTTCCCAGGTTTTCAGCCTGGGCTGGAATCTTCATATTAATGCACATGTCACTAGTTAAGACCTAAATGAGCTTCATGAAAATGATGTCCTACCTTGAAATAGTTTGTTATGGTTTTTGGTACAGAGCTTTTTCCGAGCCAGCGATATCAAGGTGCTGTGTCATGGTTTCCCCCTGACCCTCACCCCATATCTTGGCCCTAGGTTGGAGAAGAGCAAGGCCAAGAAAATCCCCCAGATCATGACCCCATTCATGACCAAAGTTGGTACTTGGACCAGACCTTACGTAAGCGACTCTATGATGAGTATGGTGTACAAGGCTGGGCAATAGTGCAGTTCCTTGGAGATGCTGTGTTCATTCCTGCAGGTGCTCCCCATCAGGTAAGTATGCCAACTCTAGGCCATATTGACAAATAGAATTGAATTTGAGGCACAACAGAACTGCGACTTCAAAATGACTGTTGCTTAATATTGCTGCTGACTTCGGTTCCTTTTTCTATGTATGCAGTTCTTACAGGAACTATTTGAATTAGATCTTAGTTGTTATATTAGTAAAAATTATATAAATACCTGAATGATGTGTACAGTACTGTTATGGAATTAAGAAAAAAAAAAAAAATTAGGGTGAATGGTGGGAAAACGTTTCTGTGTAGTGAAACTACAGGCAAGGGAACAGAATTCCGAAGAAGTGTGGAGAACAGTAGAGAACTTTGCTTTAGGGGACACTAGTGTATGTGGGAGAACGGGGAACATGTGACATGTCATGTATTTTGTTCTGTTGCTACCATTAGACACAATTCTGTGTGAGATGAAATAGGCTTCAGTTTCTGTTTCTGACAAGTAAATGCGGGAGAGAGGGCGTTGGGGGTGTTTTGGGTTTTGTATAGTTCACTCAATCTTGATGTATCATTTGATATGGGGTTTTTTAGGTCCATAATTTGTACAGCTGCATTAAAGTGGCAGAAGATTTTGTATCTCCAGAACATGTGAAGCACTGCTTCCGTCTGACCCAGGAGTTCAGGCACCTGTCTAATACTCATACAAACCATGAGGATAAACTGCAGGTAACCATTTTATGATAGTAGTCACTAAATATATCCTGTGTTTTGCCAGTTTTGTTTAGTACTAGAAACGTGTGGCTAATGATTTAAGAAAAAAATCACAATTTGCCACAACTTTTGAGGTTCTCATTTGATAAGTATTTAAAAAATAGTTAATGCACCTATGTCTACAGTATTATGTAAACAACAATTAGTAATAAACTTTTGAATTTCCAGAGAACTTTCCCCACTATTGGACTAGTGCTTGTGTTGGTATTAATAAGTTTTTAAATGGCTGAATCCTGAATGACAGTGAAGCGTAGCAGAAAAAGAAAAAAAAGGAGGGGAAAAAAAAAAAAAAAAAGAGGAGAAAGCAGTGCTTTGTCTTGAAGAGATACATTTATTTGACCAAGGACACTTGTATTTGTTTCTTTATTGCCTAAAGGAAAATTGCTCTGAAAGTGAAGGCTTGCTTATTTAAACCAGGGATATGGTTTAGTGGCAGACTTGGCAGTGTTAGGTTTACAGTTGGACTCGATGATCTTAAAGGTCTTTTCCAACCTAAATGGTTCTGTGATTCTATGATTCTAAATTAATCCCAAACAGGTAAATTAAATTCGGTTTGAAGAAATGCGACTGCTTCAACTAATAATTATGCACAGAACATATTATGCACTGAAGTAGTACATTGTGTATAAGACAATAAGGTCTGCAGAGCAAAGACCATAGGAGACCTTTTTGGATTTCACCTATGTATGCTTCTGAAGAGTTAGTATCTGTTTAGTTTGCAAATTTTGTTGTCGGCGTTTTTTGTTTTACTGCTTCATGCATGTAAAATGAAGGAGGGTGAAGATCTGCAGAATGGCTGTTCTTGCACAAGCGAGTAGTCAGTATTTAGCCATTCTCCAGTATGTCACCCAAGAATATCAGAACTTGTCATGTTAATTCTCTCCAACAATTCAGTGAAAAACTGCTATAAATCTGTATGTGGATTTGCACAGGATTTTAAAGGAAAGCAGAAGTAGGATCGGCTCTCGTTGTGGGGATCCAGCTTCTAACACTGTACTACTTCAGCTGTAGTGATACAGATGTGGTAATGTTTCTGTAAATGAATAGGTTGCAAATGAATAATGCTTATTATTTTTAAAAAAAAAAAAAAGAAAGAAAGAAACTGCTGGCAAAGTGGAACTCGATACTCCTGTGAAAAGGAATGCTGGTTGTATTTGTGCCTCACAGCCAAACTTTAGCATTTTTCTTTGTCATTTTTCATGTATATTTTTATAGTATTTTTTTAGACATCTGTCTCTATTTTTATATATGTATTAAACACACAGAGACAATAACTGTCTCATAAATGATACAAAAGACTGAGATCGTATGTACATCAGAAAAAATGATGATGCTTGGCCGTTAGTTGAGCAAGTGCAATTAAGCCACCCTCTTAGTAGTGAAACTGTTCTCTTCAATACCTAGAAACTGAATTAAAATAAACTTAGAGCAGAAAAATCAGAAACAAGATAGAGCTTTGATTGTTAAATAGCTAAGTGTGCAACAGATTGCTGTGAGTACTAGTGGATTCCTCATCTCTAATCTTGCTTGCCTTTCTGGAAGATGCACAAATTAGAAGAATTTCTAGCTTCCATACAAAGACAAGAGGATGCTTTGCTGCATCATCTTAATTTACATAAGGTTAAACCATATGATTTTCTTGCTCCTTTTGGGTTTGATTTGTGTGAATCTGTAAGTGACTTGAATCACAAGGACTTTTTCAAAACGTATGTGTGACTTCATAGTGTACTTCTTCCTAGCTCTCACGAAAGAGAGCACTTTATCTTAAAATAACATGAGTAAATATATGTTGCTGGGTGACCAGAAAGTAAGTTAATAAATCAGTGTCTAAAATATTTGTCGTCTAACCATGACAGTTAAAATTTATGCTGTTGATATCCTGAAGCAGTGATAGCATATACTTTGTGTATACTTGCCAACTATTATGAATTCAGCTGTCGAAGTTGATTGCGTAGGTATGTAAGACTCTCCTTGTTAGTCTGTAGAAGTTGATTTTTTTTTTTTCCTGTTACAGGTGAAGAACATTATCTACCATGCAGTGAAAGATGCTGTTGGCACACTGAAAGCTCATGAATCCAAACTAGCTAGATCGTAGGAATTGCTAATTCCAAATGCCCTGTGAAGTAAGCCTTTTGCTCACAGTATATACGGGGACTGCACATGACTGCCTCTGCAGGAGCAGAGGCTTCTCACTAAGAGCTGGTGTGGTCAGTATTACACACACTCTTCAGCCACTGTTTTCTACGCTGCCTCAACACTGAAGGTCTAACAGAAGGTCGCACTGTTACATGCAGAATTCCAGATTCTAATGAAAGGTGCCATGTCCCTTTCCTGTGGCCTTTTGCAAATTGGAAGAACATGGAAACCACTTGGTGTTCCTGCATATTATGATTAGAAATGGTATAAAGAGTGTGGATGTTTTTTTTCCTCATGCCTAGTTAGTCTCCACAAAGTTAGAAGGAATGTGCTGGAGGTGGGTTGTCCTACTGCAGACTTAGTTGATAGCTGCTGAAGGAGTGTGACCAACAGTAGCCCAACTGCAGAAATTTAAGCAAACTTCCCATGTGAGATACAGGCCAAGGAAAAGAATAAAGCTATTCTCTGCACTCCCCTTCTTGTAGCCGTTTCTCTGTACACTGTAGAGTTGCAGAAAAAAAGGGAGAACCCACTTCTTTCCCCCAGGAGACTCCAGAAATAGGAGAATTGTGTATTTAGTGAAAAACTAGGTTTGTAGTGAAACAGTTAATATTTCATGAAAGTAGATATTTTTAGTATTTTTGAAGTACCACAACTGTTCCTGGATTTTCAAGGAAAGGCGCATTACATTTAGTCTTCCTTTCAATAAAATCAAGAAGTGATTTTTAGAAAGCAGTCCAAAATAGCACAAAAACAGCCAAAGGAGAGTGAATAGAAATTGACACCCCACCTCCCTTGCCCATATTCCTCACCCATCTTCCCCCCTCCCCCTACGCCACCTTGCTTCCTCAGAATGAGAAGTAAAAAGGAGTATGAACTCTGTTCTCATGTGGAGATGTTGTACATCTCTCCCTGCACTGGTGACTGCAGGCAATAGTTATCTAATACCAGTGCTAGCTGAAAACATCTATCCTTTCCAAAGTGAAGGAAAAGTTAACTTTCAGTGTCAACTTTGTCCAGAACTATTTTAAGTAAAATGTTCCTGCTTGATAGAACTGTATTCAGAATTTACTAATGTCAGCATTGATGCAATGGATTTCATTGTCTGGGTACATGGGGAAATGTATCTACCTTATATCCAGCTGTACTGTAGTGCCACCTGCAGGCCTGTTAATATGTTCACGGTTATTTCATTTTTTTAAAAATAAAAGTCATTTACTGTAACAGCCTGGGCAGTTTCTTTCAGACTTGTACACTGATCTTCCTGCTTTGAGTTTGTCTCAGCTTCTGCCTCTGGTAGTGTAGACTACCTGTTAATTTCTTGCCTTGTGTCTGACCAGAAGGCTTGGGTGTTCTATGCCTGGTGTCCCAAGTACATGCTGGAAGTATACCAAGCTACCTGCAGTTCTTGATTCTTGGAGATAGTTTGGGTAGAGGATCTGTCTTGTCATGAACAGCATCTCTTGTGCTGTGCTCTCTACTTCTTACTATCTTCCCAACAGGTTGGGGTTCAGAGCTGCCCTCTCCACTGGAGATATGGATGGGGTGGTTCCCCGGTTTCTGACCTTGGCGGTTGTGTAGGCAGCAGCAGTTCAGTTCACTGGCACGTGGCATGCTGGCAGCTTCTCGGGTTGGTTACTGGGTGCAAGTAGTTCATTCCTGGGCTTTTGCTGTCTCCTTACCCTTGCAGCTATCCTGTGAATATGGGCTAATTCAGTCCGCTGCAGGTGAAAAGGATTATCCGAGACCCATGAA